GTATCAGAGTAATGTTGGCCTTATAAAATGAGTTGAGAAATATTCCCTCTTCATCTAACTTCTGGAAAAAATAGAATTTATGTTATTTCTTTTTAAATTGGTAGAATTCATCAGTGAAATATTCTGAGCCTGGGGATTTCTTTTTCAGGAGGTTTTTAATTACTAGTTCAATTTCTTTGGATAGTTATAAGGCTGTTCAGGTTATATATTTTACCTTGAGTGAGGTTTGGTAGTTTATGGTTTTTGTAGAATTGCTCCATTTTATCTAAGTTTTCGAATTTATGTGTGTAGAGTTGTTTGTAGTATCCTCATATTAGTCTTCTAATTTTTGCAGAGTCTGTAGTAATATCCCCTTTCTCATTGTTGATATTGGTAATTTGTGACTTCTTTATTTTTTTTAATCAGTCTTGCTAGGGATTCATTAATTTTATTGATCTTTTAAAAGAACTCCCTCTTTGTTTTATTGATTTTTAAAATTGTTTTTGTGTTTTAATTTCATTGATTGCTGCTCTTATCTTTATTATCTCATTCCGTATTCATTCACTGGATTTATTTTTTTCCAGGTGGAAACTTAGATTACTACCTAGAGACTTCTTTTCTAATATAAGCAATTAATGCTTTAAATAATTCTGTAAGCACTACTTTAGCTTTATACCACAAATTTTGACTTGTTATATTTTTATATTCAGTTGAAAATATTTTCTAATTCCATTGAAATTTCCTCTCTGACCCATGGATTACTTAAAAGTATCTGGTATAATTTCCAAGCATTTGTAGATTTTCCTGTTATCTTTGTTATTGGTTTCTAGCTTAATTCCATTATGATTGGAGAACATATTTTTAATTATTTCATTCTTTTAAATATATTAAGATTTGTTTTATGATCCAGGATAGCTTTTTGGTGCATGTTCTGTAAGTATTTGAAAGGAATGTATAATCCGTTGTTGGACTGAGTGTTCAATAAATGTTAATTAATTAGTTGTCTGATAATGTTGTTCAGTGCTTTTATATCCTTGCTAGTTTCTGCCTACTAATCTACTGATGACCAAGAGAATAGCATTGAAGTAAACAACTATAATTTTGGACTTACCCATTTCTCCTTTCAGTTCTTTCCATTTTTGTGTCATGAAGCTTTGTTGTTACATGTATATACATTTAGCATTGTTATGGATTCTTTGTGAATTGATCTTTCTACCATTATGTAATGTCTCTATTTCTGATAATTTTCTCTGCTCTGAAGTTTACTTTGTTTGTTATTAATATTTCTGTGTTAACTCTCATTTGATTAGCGTTTGCATGGCATATTTTTTCTATCTGTTACTTTATTCTACCTATATCATTATATTTGAGGTGGGTTTCCTGTAGACAGCATATAATTTCATATTCTTCCTAAGTCCATTTATGTCCATCTGACAAACTCTAATTTTTGATTGGCTTATTTAGAAAATTTATGTTTAATGTAATTCGATAATTTGTATTTGGGCCTATCATTTTATTATTTGTGTTCTCTTTTTTCCTCCCTAATTTTTATTCTTTCTTTTCCCTTCCCTCCCTTCCTTTGGCTTATTTGAACATAATTTAGTATTCTATTTAATTTATCCATTGTATCTTTGACTATATTTTTTGTATTTATTTTTAGTAATTGGTCTAGGGGTTATAAAGCATATACATACTATTTAAAATCCATAGTTTACCACTTCAAACACAGGTAGTAAAGTATTAACTCAGCTGGCTTGAGATGTTCAAGCCCTGTACATTCCAAAAGACTCCCCCTTCATAAATTCATGGGAGATAGTCTCTAATCCTGCCTAATAAGAGTATTTTTGTATGCCTGGGGTCTAGGGTTTTGCCACATAGTTTATGCTAACAGTGTTATTTATGTGGGGTCTTTGGGCCACACTGTACCAGTTTGACCTCTTGAACAGGCTGGGGACTGATTAATTAAGATCAATTACATGGGTGTTTCATGACTATGTGACCAGCCCCCAATAAAAATCCTGGACACAAAGTCTTGGCTAAGTCTCTCTGTTTGGTGACACACCATGCGTGTTGTCATATGTCACTGTTGGGAAGATTAGGTGCTGTTTGTCCAAGTCTATTGGGAGATGATAACTGGAAGCTTGTGCCTGGTCTCTTCTGGACTCTGCCCTATGCACCTTTTGCATTTACTGATTTTAATCTGTGTTCTTTTGTTGTAATAAACTTTAACCAAGAGCATAATACTTTTCTGAGTTCTATTAGTCTTTTTAAAAAATCATTAAACCTGAGTGTGGTCTTGGGGACCCTGACACAAAGTGGAATGTAGAGTCTTAAACCTCAGTAGACATTGTTATACTTTTTGCTTCTGGGTGTTACATATATTTTAAACAATACAGGAGGAGAAGAATTATTTATATTTATCCAGATATTTAACATTTCTCTGTTTTTTAATTCATTTTTTTAAAAATTATTTTATTGTTGTTCAAGTACAGTTGTCTGCATTTACACCCCACCACTTCCCCAACCCCAGCCATCCCCACCTCCTTCCCCTGCTTCTAGCCCCCCTTGGTTTTGTCCATGTGTCCTTTATAGTTGTTCCTGAAAACCCTTCCCTGGCCCCCTCTATAATTCATTCTTGACATTCCAAGTTTCCTTCTGGTATTGCTTCCCTTCTTTCAGCAATTCTTTTGAGTGGGTCTTTGGCAATGAATTAAAGTTTTTCTTACCTGAGATGCACCCACTTAAAAAAAAAAAAAGACAGGTGCGCCAAGACAAGAAACAATGGCCCAAATGAAAGAACAGTTCAAAGCTCCAGACAAAACCACAACTAAGCAACAAAGAGATAGCCAACCTATCAGATACACAGTTCAAAACACTGGTTATCAGGATGCTCCAGGAGCTTACTGGGTACTTCAACAGCATAAAAAAAGACCCAGGCAGCAATGAAGGTTGCATTATGTGAAATAAAGAAAAATGTATAGGAAACCAACAGTGATGGGAAGGAAACCAGTACTCAACAGTTTGGGACAGAAGGAAGAAAGAAACTTTCAACCAGAACAGAATGAAGAAACAAGAATTCAAAAAAATGAGGAGAGACTTAGGAACCTCCAGGATATCTTTAAACATTCCAACATCTGAATTATAGGGGTGTCAGAAGGAGAAGAGGGAGACCAAAACATTGAAAACTTATTTGAACAAATAATGAAGGAGAACATCCCCAATCTGGCAAAGGAAATAGACTTCTAGGAAGTCCAGGAAGCTCACAGAGTCCCAAAGAAGTTGGACCCAAGGAGGAACACACCAAGGCACATCATAATTACATTACCTAAGATTAAAATGAAGGAGAGAATCTTAAAAGTAGCAAGAGAAAAGGAGACAGTTACCTACAAAGGACTTCCCATTAGACTACCAACTGGTTTCTCCAAAGAAACCTTGCAGGCAAGAAAGGGCTGGAAAGAAGTATTCCAAGTCATGAAAGGCAAGGTCCTACATCCAAGTTTGCTCTGTCCAGCAAAGCTTTCATTTAGAATGGTAGGGCAGATAAAGTGCTTCTCAGATAAGGTCAAGTTAAAGGAGTTCATTATCATCAAGTCCTCATTATATGAAATGTTAAAGAAGATAAAAAAATATGAACAATAAAATGACAACAAACTCAGTTATTAACAACAAAATCTAAAAAAAAAAATAAACTAAGCCAACAACTGGAACAGGAACAGAATCACAGAAATGGAGATCACACGGAGGGTTATCAGTGGGGGAGGGTGAGAGAGGGTAAAAGGGTACAGAGAATAAGTAGCATAAATGGTAGGTAGAAAATAGACAGGGGGAGGTTAAGAATAGTATGAGAAATGGAGAAGGCAAAGAACTTATATGTACGACCCATGGACATGAACTAAAGGTGGGGAATGTGGGTGGGAAGGGGTGTGCAGGGCAGAGGGAAATAAATGGGGGAAAATGGGACAACTGTAATAACATAAAACGACAAGAAAAAAAGAAAAAGAAAACAAAAAAAAACTGTCATTCCTGAATATTTTCACTGGATATATATTTCTGTGTTAACAGTTTTTTTCTTTCAGCACTACCCTGATTAGAAGAGCTGATGGACAGGCTCAAAGGGTTAGCTGAAAGCACAGGCTAGCCAAATGACATCATGCCAGCTAGAGGCATAACTGCTTAGCAGGCTGCTATTTTTCTCCCTCCAAAAATTACTCCACTGATAAAGACCCAGGGGTTGCAAGTGCAGCCTATGGTGTTTTGAATTTCATATAGGCAAGAGAACAGCATCTGACTGGGAAGAGCCTAATTGATCTGGACATATTGGATTGGCCTAAAAGTTTTTTTTTTATAAGATGGCTGTAGTAGTGCTTAGTTGTCTTTAACTTCATTTGAAACAACTTTATTAGATTGTGTTGTGACAGCTTTCACATCAGCGTGCATTTAAAAAATTATCAGAATTGGTGAATTTTTGTGTAGCCATTTTAACATTGAAGATGGAAGAAAATATGCAACATTTTTGGCATATTATGCTTATTATTTCAAGAAAGGTAAAAATGCAACTGAAACACACAAAAAAGATTTGTTCAGTGTATGCAGGTGCTGTGGCTGATCGAACATGTTAAAAGTGGTTTGCAAAGTTTTGTGCCAGACGATGCCACATGGTCAAGAAAACCAGTAGAAGTTGATAGGGATCAAATGGAGACATTAACTGAGAACAATCAATGTTACACCACACAGGAGATAGCCGGCAAACTCAAAATATCCAAATCAATAAAGTTATTAGTGAAAATGAAAACTTTGTCTTTTATTTTACAGGAAAAAACAGATTGACTTTTTGGCCAAACCAATATATGAGCCAGCTTAGAAGAGTGATTATAATGATAGACTTTGGAATAACACACAGTTGGCTTTGAATCCTAGATTTATGACTTATTGTGAAACTGAGGGTAAGTGCTACTTCTCCAAGCCTTAGTTTCCTAATCTGTTAAAAATAGGATAATAATGTTTACTCACTTCCCTCTCTAGGTGATTGTGGAGACCAATTTATGTAATCTAAAGAAAAAATGTTTGGCACAGGCAGTGAGTACTCAATGAATGTTAGCTTTTTTATTATTCTTTGATTGTGTTGTGGGTATCAACAGTCACTGCTCACCTTGGTTCTTCTAAGAGGATACAAGCCAGGGCATAGTCAAGGGCATGACCTTTCTTGGGTGGGCAAAGGAGTCATCATGTTTTTCATGCTGAAACTACATCAGTTCCTTAAGTCAAACATTACCAGAACTAACAATGAATTACTTTTTAAAAACCTGCTATGAAATTCAGAACAATTTTCAATGGTGAATCTCTTTCTTTAAAACAAAAAATTCATATAAGGAAATGCTAATATTTCAAGAAAATTCTTTGAGGGATCTTGATTGACATGTGTAAATGCTGTAGTTCAATTTGCATTTAAATAGGCATTCTTAATACTTCCTTTTAAGTGGGCCATATTTCTCTCTTGTAAAACTAAAAATTGATTTCTCCTTTTTAGCACGAGGGTTCATGGTTAAGAGGTGTGGTGCAGCTGTTCTTTTATGTCTTCTACTCAGTGTGGAAGTAGCCTTGCCAGATGGAGCAAGCCAGAAGTGAACAATAGAAATATATTTTTTTAAATGTGCTTCTGTAAAGGATTGATCAGTGGTTTAACAAAGCTTGACATCAGCATGACATTCTCTCCATAAATGCACAAGGCTGCCCAGAAAAATCTCCCCTATTTACAAGCACAGTCAGTCTTCCATCTCTCATTTCTCCTTGATAACACAGTGACTCTTAAAATGCACTCTGGGAATGGGCTTTCTTTGCCTTCCCTCCCTCTACACTGGCATGGGAGAGTTCCCTGAAAAAGCCTCCAGTAATAGAATCTTCCAGATGAGATAGAATTCTCATCTGGAATTTATTACTAAAGTAACTCTTGAACAGGTGTTGGGCACATGTTCCCAGTCTCCTGAGAAGGGGACTCATAGCGTGGAGCTTGGAATTGATTGAGGTCTCTTATTCAAATCTTCCTTTAGGTCTGCTGATGGTCTGTGGCAAGAAGTACGAAAGATTCACCCAAATCCACCTTCCGTTCTGGGCACACAGCTGGACCACATTTCCCTGCCTCCCTTGTAGTTAGGTATGGTCATATGCCTGAGTTTTATCTGAAAGTAATATGTCTGCCTTTCAGGTTTAGTTGATATAAACCTCCCATAAATTGCTTGTTCTTTTCTCCTTCTGACTGGTTAGAAGGAGGTGACTCCCAGAGCAACCCTGGAAATGTGTTGAAGATGGCAGTGCCTCCATCAGCTTGGGCTGCCTGAAGGACCGTTCTGTCCACCTGTTCACTTGCTCAGTATGTTTTGTGAGCAAGAAATAAACTTGTATTAAATGTGAACCATTACATATTTGGGGGTTTGTTTGCTACAGCAGTTAACTTATTCTAACTATAACTTACTTTTTCCCTATGCTTTCAGTCACAAGTATACATTTTTTTTTCAGGGCTGTGAGTTCTGCTGACACAGGACCAGTACTCCTTGAAGCATCTAGTATAACTTTAACACTCATACATCTCCTTTTCTGGGAATCTGTGTTCCAGGTATTGTCCAATGATGCTAAAGTAGTTCTTTCTCAGAACGGATGGCATTTCCACCCCACTGAATCGCTTTGAGGACCTTTTTCTTTTTTAAAACAGTCACAATTTTAGTTTAACGACTCATTCATTTCACTGTCTGTTGAATAAATCATTCATTCATTTGATTATCTGTTCTCAAAAATGTTCCAGACATGGAAGGCAGTTTATAAGGAGAATAAAATACAACAAAACAGTCTGTGAAAACCAGGCATGAGGAAAGAGTGGAAAACAAGGGTAGAATCAACAAACGGAGTCAGGAAATTAGCTAATGTACCCTCAGGGCTCACCTTATTAGCCCCTGTCTTCTCTAACATCTTTTTCCTGAAACTGCTCCTGGTCGCTCCCTCTACCTCCTTTTTCATACATCCTAATTTCTTGGGAGACCATTTCTTTAATCATTTCCTGATGGCCCCAAGTTTCCATATCCTCCTATGGGATCCTTGGTGGCTTCTCACTTCCTTGAACTTCATTTAGGCAGTTGGACAGTTTGATGTGGGAAGCATTAACTCAGGAAGTCATTTTTTAAAAATCTGAGTCTGAGTATTTTTCTATGCACTGTAATTATTTTCATTTTCTATTTTTCCTTTTGTTTTTATTCTAATCTGTCACTGATCTTTCTATTGTGTTTCTTCTTTTATTGACATATAGGCATTCTTCACATCTAAACTATTAATAATATTTTAAATATTTATGTTGCAAATATTTTTCCCAGTCTGCCTTTTGTCTTTTGAAAAATATATATACAAGTTACATAATTTTTTGAATTTGTTCCTTTTTTTCTTTAAACTCTTTATTTTGAACAGTTTTTGGTTGACAGCAAAACTGAGGGGAAGGTACAGAGAGTTTCCATAAACTCCCTGCCCCCACACATGCATAGCCCTCCTTGTTATCAAAGTGGCACATGTGTTATGTGGAACCTAATGAACCAACTGAACTAACAAGCAAAGTAGAGATAGACTCATAGATAGAGAGCAGGCTGACTGCTCTTGGGGAAGAGTTGAGATGGGTGGAAGGATTGAGTAAAAAAAGGAAAAGAGAAAGAACTCATGGACACAGACAACAGTGTGGTGATTGCAGGCTGGGCAGAGGGTTGGATGGAGATGAAAGAGGTTATGGCGGGATAAATGGTAATGGAAAAATACAATAAAAATAATGTCAATAAATAAATGTAACCAATTCACAATATTTTAAAAAACTGATAAACATACACTGACACATTATTAACGCAATTCATAGGTAACATTAGAGTTCACTCTTGGAGTAGTACATTCCATGGTTTTGGACAAATGTATGATGACATGTATTCACTACCATAGTATTATATAGAATAGTTTCACTGCCCCCCAAAATATCCTCTGTACTCTGCTGATTCATCCCTCCCTCCACCCAACCCTTGGCAACCACTTGTCTTTTCACTGCCTTTTCCAGAATGTCATATAGTTGGAATCATATATTTTCTAGCCTTTTCAGATTCGCTTCTTTAACTTGGTAATGTGCGTTTAATTGTCCTCCATTCATTTCCTTTCATAGCTCAATAGTTTCTTTTTGACCCTCTCTCTTTTTGAGAGAGAGAGAGAGAGAGAAGAGGAAGGGAGAGATAGAAAGATCAATAGGTTGCCTCCTGTACCTGTATGTGCCTGGATCATACATATCCCTACCGAGAATAGAACCTGCAACCTAGATAAGTGCCCTGATGGGGAATCGAACCTACAACCTTTGAATTACCAAACGATGCTCCAACCGAGTGAGCCATACTGGCTAGGGCAATAGCTTATGCTTTTAGTGCCGAATAATGTTACATTGTCTGAGTGTATCACAGTTTATCCATTTACCTACTAAAGGACATCTTGGTTGCTTCCAAGTTTTGGCAATTATAAATAAAACTTTCATAAACATCTTGTGCAGGTTTTCATGTGGAGAGGTTTCACATCCTTTGTGTAAATACCAAAGAGTGTAATTATTGGATCATATAATAAAAGTATGTTTAGTTTTATAAGAAACCACCAAACTGTCTTCCAAAGTGGCTGTACTCATTTTGCATTCCCTTTAGTAACAGAAAGAAAGTTCCTGTTGTTCCACAAACTCGCCAGCATTTGGTATTATCAGTGTTCTGGATTTTGACCATTTTAATAGGTATGTAGTATTAGTATCTCATTGTTGTTTTAATTTGCACTTCCCTAATAACATATGATGTAGAGCATCTTTTATGTGCTTATTTTTCATCTGTGTATCTTCTTTGTGAGGACTCTGTTAAGATCTTTGGCCCATTTTTTATTTTTATATTTTAAAGATTTTATTTAGAGAGACAGGAAGGGAGGGATAAGAAGAGGTAGGGAAACATCCATTGATTGCCTCTTGCACACCTGCAACCAGGGACCTGGTCTGAGAGCCAGGCATGTGCCCTGACTAGGAATCAAACCAGTGACTTTTGGCTTTGCTGAACAATGCCCAACCTGCTAAGCCTTGCTGGTAAGGGCCTTTGGCCCATTTTTTAATTGGGTTGTTTGTTTTCTTATTGTTGAGTTTTAAGAGTTCTCGTATATTTTGGATAATAATTCTTTATCATATATGTCTTTTGCAAATATATTCTTTCAGTCTGTGACTTGTCTTCTCATTCTCTTGAGACTGTATTTTGATTGCATTGCAATCAAATCGAACTATCTATTATTTCTTTCATGGATTGTGCTTATGGTGTTGTATCTAAAAAGGAATTACCATGCCTGAGGTCATCTAGGTTTTTTCCTATATTATCTTCTAGAAGTTTTACAATTTTGCATTTTATATTTAGGTATATGATCCACTTTGAGTTAATTTTTGTAAAGGGTATAAAGTCTATGTCTAAATTTATTTTTATTTCTTTTTGCAAATGAATGTCCAATCGTTATAGCACCTTTGGTTGAAAAGACTATTTTTGCTTCATTGGATTGCGTTTGCTCTTCTCTCAAAGATTAGTTGAAAGAGTGCTGTAGCGCATTTTAATACGGTTCCTTTTCCCTTCCTACTGCTGGCAGCAGAAGGGATTCCCCCCGTTGATATTTACTGTGAGAATCTGTTTGAGCTCCTGAGATAAATCTCACAAAATTTTTTGGGGGGGTCCCCCTATTATTGGGTTGCTCTGTTGTATCACTCTCAGACTTGTCTACATGTAGCCTCTAACAATTCAAATTTTCTTACCCTGGCACCATTTCCTTTAGTAGTTTCTGCTTCTGAGCCGGTTGTGGTAAGCCATGACTCCTGTATTCACCTGTCTGTCTCACTGTTGGGGACAGCAGTCTGCATCCTCACCTGTCTTAGGGATCAATAATTATTGTTATTTTTTTTTTTTTAATTCTGTTCTGCTTTATACTGGTTTTTAGGATGGAGTGGTGACTTCCAAGCTCCTTACATGCAGGACAGGAAACCAGAAGTCAAATCATTATTTTGTACTCCCTAAAAAATTATGTCACAATCCTTATTTGCATAAGTAGTACATTATATATGTCTATAAAAATTCAAAGAGCACAGATTGTATAATGGAAATATCCTCTTTTAACCTTTCCTCATGTGTTCATCATGTCACTTCCTTCCCTGGGGGGAAAAACACTTATCTATCACATTGGTATGTATCCTTTGAAATATTTAACTTTCTACATACATTTACATGTTCATATAGGGATCACACATGTATATGCGCAAAAATGGGATCATGCTGTATTTATTATTCTGTGATTTTCTTTTTCGCTTAGTGTATGTTTGGAGAACTTTCTACGTTACATATCTGGATCTATCTAAAAAGGTTCCGTTATGTTGAGAGTTTGTTTAACCATTCTTTTATCCATGCACACTTAGGTTGTTTCCAATTTTTATTGTAAATGATACTACAACAAAATTCTTCCTTCTACTTGGAACATATTTGGGAACATTTCTCTAAGATATCTTGAAGAGGAATTGCTGGATATCTTAAACACTTAAAGATTATTTTATAAATCTGATGGATAAAAAAATCCATTTCTTGTTTTAAAGTACGATTCACTGATTTCTAGTGAGATTGAGGATTTTTCACATACTTATTGGCTATTTATAACTTTTGTATTCTGTAATGATAATCTTTTCTTTTCTAATATATTTTATTGATTATGCTGTTACAGTTGTCCCATTTTCCCCCTTCACTCCCCTTCACCCTGCCCACCCTTCCCCACCCACATTCCCCTCCTTTAGTTCATGTCCATGTGTCATAAGTTCTTTAGCTTCTACATTTCTCATACTATTCTTGCCCTCCTGCTATCTATTTTCTACCTATTGTCTGTGCTACTTATTCTCTGTATCTTTTCCCCCTCTCTCCTCCTCCCACTTCCCTGTTGCTAACCCTCCATGTGATCTCCATTTCTGTGGTTCTGTTCCTGTTCTAGTTGTTTGCTTAGTTTCTTTTTGTTTTAGGTATGGTTGTTACTAACTGTGAGTTTGATGTCTTTTTTTACTGTTCATATTTTTTATCTTCTTTTTCTTAGATAAGTCCCTTTAACATTTCATATAATAAGGGCTTGGTGATGAAGAACTCCTTTAACTTGGCCTTATCTGAGAAGCACTTTATCTGCCCTTCCATTCTAAATGAGAGCTTTGCTGGATAGAGCAATCTGGGATGTAGGTCCTTGCCTTTCATGACTTGGAATACTTCTTTCCAGCTCCTTCTTGCCTGTAAGGTCTCTTTTGAGAAATCAGCTGATAGTCTGATGGGAACTCCTTTGTAGGTAACTATCCCCTTATCTCTTGCTG